AACCTTACTCTTCCATTAGAGTTTACAGTCTTTGGATTCAGATGTTTTATAAAATTAATGCTAATTGCCAATAATATTTAAATTTATTTATTTTGGGTTGCTTTTGAAAGATTTGATGGAACTGAAATTGAAAAAGAAAAGGCTGTTTAATATTTTTTGCAAAAATAAAATACAAAATATGTTTGCTGTTAACACAATATAACAAGGTCATAGTGAGATATATTAAAAATAAGCAAGATTAAGCCAGTAAATCTAGCAAATATTGTTGGTACTTTTGACCCACCCGTGTACTTTTATCCCTACTAACAGGGTCAAAAAAGTGAAATTTATGTTTTAAAGTTATTTTGAAGTTGTTTTACATTTGTTCAAAACACCACCTGATATTGATAGACCACACTTAAGAGGTCGTAACCACAGCAGACGTATGTTTCTCTCTAAAGCATCTTTAATGATTGAATGAATTTTTATGAAAAATGGTGCTTTTATTCCCACTCTCCCCTAGTTATAAAGTGTGTATGTATATGAAGTGTGTGTGTGTGTGTACTTGTTCCTGAAGTGTGGGCACATTTCAAGCATTTTCCCGTAATTTTCCTTGAAATGGAATGATATCCAACAAATATACACTCTCAGAAATAAAGGTACAGGAGCTGTCACTGGGGCAGTACCGTATCAAAAGGTACATATTTGTACCTGAAGGGTCCATAATGATACCTCAAATGTACTTTTTATGTGCATTTGGGTACTAATATGCACCATTGAGATATCACTGTGGACCATTTGCAGTTTTATTTTGTGAGTAATTGTTGTTTAACTTATTGTTAAACGTTTAAAACTCTCTAACAGAGTTGACATTCTACACCATTTTGTGCTTTAGCTGAAGATGCTAACCTCGGATCAGACAGCACATGTCAAGTCTAAGACAGGATTTAATGTATTTTCATCTTGTTGTTATTTATAGAAATTCACTGAAGCATCACAATAGCAGAGTTGACAAATAATTATTAATACTACTATTAGTGTATCCTCAACTTTTTGCAGATTTTAATGAGAAGACAGTAAACGACATGCCTCTGCCTTCCAGGTTCCCACAACAGGATGTGACATCACTTGGAGCAACTCACATGTTTTTTTTTTCTATCAGAGCTTTAAAGATTGCTGTGCCTATTTAAATAACTGATGTAACTGAGTTGACTAGATGTATGGATAGACATAAAATGATTTATTTTATTACTGGGCAGCACGGTGGCTCAGTGGATAGCACTGTTGCCTCATAGCTAGAAGGTCGCTGATTCGAGTCCCAGGTGGGCCATTTCTGTGTGGAGTTTACGGTGTGCTCCAGTTCCACCCCACATTCCCTCTGCCACAATCGACATGTGGTATAGGTGAATTGAATAAACTAAATGGGTCGTAGTGGGCGACACAATGGCTCAGTATTTGGCACTGTTGCCTCACAGCAAGAAGGTTGCTGGTTCAAGTCCCAGCTAAGTCAGTTGGCGATTCTGTGTGGAGTTTGCATGTTCTCTCTGGGTTCATGTGGGTTTCCTCTGCGTGCTCCAGTTTCCCCACAGTCCAAAGACATACGCTATAGCTGAATTTAATAAACAAAATTGGCTGTAGTGTATGTGTGTGAATGAGTGTGTATGGGTGTTTCCTAGTACTGGGTTGCAGCTGGAAGGGCATCCGCTGTGCAAAACGTATGCTGGATGAGTTGGTGATTCATTCCGCTGTGGAAACTCTCGATGAATAAAGGGATTAAGCCGAAGGAACATGAATGAATGAATGAAATTAGCTTTAGTGAATGAGTGTGTATGGGTGTTTTCCAATACTGGTGTACAGCATCCTCTTTGTAATGGTGGAATAGTTAGTGGTTCATTCTGCTGTGGTGTCCCTTTATTAATCTGGGGTCGCCACAGCAGAATAACTCCCAACCTATCCAGCATGTTTCTACGCAGCAGATGCCCTTCCAGCCACAACCCATCCCTGGGAAACATCCACAAACACTCATCCACTCTCATACACTGCTGACAATTTAGCCTACTCAATTCACCTGGCACCCGGCCACGCGATTGCAGGGAGAACATGCAAACTCCACACAGAAACGCCAACTGACCCAGCCGAAGCTTGAACCAGCGACCTTCTTGCAGTGAGGCGACAGCACTACCTACTGCGCCACTATTATTATTAATATTATTATTAATATTATTATTGTTGTTGTTTCCAGTCAGTTTTGACAGTAACCAGAACAAGTTTTAAAAATAATTGTCTGACATGAATGTACATTAGTAAATGGAGTGGAACAACACTCTTTTTCAAGAGGAACGGTAGGTGTTATTGAGTCATCTGGCATTTTCATAACAAGGCCTGTCCTTCCCACAGCAAAAAATTCAAACGTCCTTATAAAAGTCTAACTTTGAGGGTAAAAATGATTCAGAAGATAGAGATTTCAGAAAACATTTGTAATCTTGTAATCTTTTTATTCTTCATCGCAAACTACAGATTGAGGCTGACCTCTTAGTTACTCATAGAAGGCAAAGCAAAATAAGCAATAGAAATGAAACTAGAGCAGATCTTAATTCCAGAGGTTCTTATGTAACTGTGCTGTATTGAACATCTGGTACCAGAAGTAGGTCTGTGAACTGTGTCACTGATTTAAGCCTTTTAGAAAGATGTATTTATCACAGCTGAAATAACAGTTTGTTTTGATATCAGAATCTCACCTTTATGGAAGGATTCTCTGAATATTACACCATTTCCAGTACTGTCGTACCAGGACTTTCCTACAGTCAGTCATATTATGAAATATTAAACTGGCAACAAATCTTCAAAAACTCTCTTTTTACTTCTTTGTGCACTTCTTTAGAGAATTGTTGTTTTTATAAATGATATTAGATTTAATTACTTTATTTTTTTTGAACAAAATATCATACATTAAATATCATTAACAAATAATAATTTGGTCACACTTTACAATAAGATTCATTAGTAAATGTTTATTAATGCATTTACTAACATGAACAAACAATGAACAATACATTTACTACTGTATTTGTTCATGTTAGTTAACGTTAGTTAATGAAAATATAGTTGTTCATTATTAGTTCGTTAACTCATGGTGCATTAACTAATGTTAACAAGCATGGCCTTGCATGTTAATAATGCATTAGTAAATGTTCAATTATGATTAATAAATGCTGTACATGTGTTGTTCATGATTAGTTCATCTTAGTAAATGCATTAACTAATGAACCTTATTGTAAAGTGTTACCAATAATTTCAACATGGTCGAAAATGGAGTGGGATGAAGCACAAGCTTATTATTTTCCCACCCCATTACCACATACTTCATCCGTCTATTACTTAAACTTATTTCTTCTTTTACTTATCTCTTCTTTTTACATGAAACATATTTTATCATTTTGGCTTCTTTGACAAATTATATGTTTGATTCCATTTGTACCTTTACATTTTGTAACAGACCCAGAGCAAAAGAAAAAAAAAATAGTACTGCAAATAGCCATTAATTAAAATGTCATCATACCTTTCTCTTTTTATCCTTTTTCAATCAACTTCATCACTATATTAATTTAATAATATATATTTATACAACTTTTTAAATTGATTATTATCCTGACATTGTTTGAGAGTCTGATCTAGACTGTTCCATATTACACCACAGACAGACATACACAAACTTTTTCAAGTTGTCCTTGTTTTCAAACTCCTAAAATTTAGTTTTTCTCTTAGATTATTTCCCCTCTTGTCTTTATTCAAAAAACTTTTTTATGCAATTAGGAAGTAGTTTATTCCTAGCTTTAAACATAAATTGTGCTGTTTTAGATTTAACTAAATCATTGAACTTAAGTATTTATGATTTTGATTTAATTTAAAAAATAAATTATTTGTATGCTCCAAATACCAAATAATATTGATATCTGATTGGAAATTAATTAATCATTATGTCATAACCCTCGCTTACTTTTTAGGTAGATACTTGTGTAATCTTTGGAAAGTACCATTGCGTTTTTTTCTGATTCCATTGGCCAGGAAATTAGTATTTAAAATAGTATGTCTTGAATCTGAAATACTTACGATAAAGGGCAAAACAGTCTATGCAAGAAAATAAAAAAAGTAAAGTAAAATTGATATCCCATGGTTTTATTATAGTAAAAGTTCAGTATGTTTTTGCCTCGCAAAATTGACTGCGAGTCTCATTTGAAGTTCTGTATAAGAGATATTGTGTTTATTATTATTCCTGATTTCGATCATTGTTGGTGGGTTTGTAGGACAGTACCACCCTCTGGTGCTAGAAAAATGGGATAGTAATAGTTTTCAGGCAGTATGTGGGGCATCAGTCGCTCAATTTCACTCAATGTCAACTATTTCGCTTGGTGGCTCAAAAACGGGTCCGTCCATTGAGTCGTGTGAAGTTCTAAGGGCGTTTTTTTTGTCTAATCAAAGATACACGCTGGCTAATAATATAACCTTTTGTTTGTAATGCTTACCCAAACCGACATTCGTTAAACAAATGCAAATTTTAAAGCAATTTTCCTTTTAAACGTATTTATTGAAATGGCAAGGCGCTGTAATCACAGATGACTATGATTTGTATGATCTTAAATACGGTGAGAAATATAACATGCACCACGTGACAATGCTGCCTACGTTGAGCAAATGATTTATGTGTAAATAGCTGTCAGGACGATCAATTTATTTGAGAAAACTATCTATACAAATAAAACATAAAACATTATTCACCCTGAATATGTAAAATTAGTAGCAACTTTCGTAGTGTCAGTATCCGCTTGCTATTGTAGCAAAGAACCAACCTACATGCTGATTCTACCAACCTACATGCTGATTCTACCAACTTCTATTTCTATAGGTCCTACGCTCATGTGGTATTTATGGCAAAAACACAACAAACCAATGTTGTCAAAAATAAAAATAAACAAATAAATAAGCAATAAGGCAATAAATAAGTGCATACGAATGTAAATAAATAAAATCTCTTCACAAAAGAAACCGAAAGTTATGTTTTCACACCGGCAGAATTCAGGGCAGCCCACTCACGCTTCAGACATGGCGACGCAGATGGCGGTAAATTCAGGTATTAATGTATACATTTCGTATTCTTACATATTTAATGTTTTATACGATATATAACATTGACTTTTGTGTTAACACGTTAAACCAAAGTATTTTAATACATTTAAACTACAAGTACTTCGTCAGCTATTCACTTTATCGCTACATTCACCAGAAAATAGGCTTAGAGTGTGTAACTAAATGCGCAACTAACGTTACATTGCTTACTATTATCTGGGCACTTCTTAAACGAGGTATTATAAAAGTAAAAGTCTTTGTAAAACTTGTTCTTTTGTGCGACCAGAATAAATAAGTTGACGTTATTTAAAACATCAATGTCTCCTAACATCAATGTCTGTTAAATTGCCTCGTGAATATGCCCTTAACGTCTAATAAAAATGATACATGGACAAGATAAGACTAGGTTTAAGTCAAAAGATACTTTAATGTCTATATACGAGTTACGTTTATTCTGTTGTTTAGTGGTTTACATATTATTGAGGTCAAGTTGATTTTATATGCGCACATTCGTTCAGTGGCAACTTGTGACATGCTTCCTATATTGTTTTTAACGTGGTTACTTTGAATATTGGGTCTGAAGTCACATGTAGGTTTGACTTTAAACAACATTAACACTATTTATTTGACTGTGAAATGTGGTGTACTTTGATAGTCAATGACTGCTAATGTGATTTCATGTTTATAATCTGCAAAAAATACTTTCCCGAAACTATATTATTGAGGAGAAATCTGAATGTGTGAATATACCTTTAACTTTACCTCAATTTAAATATTTTGTCTTCCATTTTACATTTTTCATGTATTTGTTTCCTTGTTTTGTACCTTAGGAATGTTGTTAATGATTGTCAGTGAAATGAAAGTTAATGTCTGTGTTTTATAATGTGTCTTTGTTTACCTTCTGCAATTATACTGTGTAAGTTCTACCTATAAGTCGAGGCAACTGGTTGCTCTGCTTTTGAGATATTAATAACATTTAGTTTTTTGTTTTGTCTTTAAAAAAGCACATTTGACAGCTTGAGTTTTTTTTTTTTTTTTTACCTTTATAGGTCATGATAGTTTGTGAAATTGACAAAAGCACTAGCCTGAAGTAGGGCTGTGCGATTTGGGGAAAATATCTAATTGCGATTTGTATTTTTTATTTCTGACAGATATTGCGATTTCAATTTGATATACAATTCAATTTTGTAGTCAAACTTCAGCTCAATAAACTGTATTGTAGCTTCTGTGTTAATTAAAATGAAGAACTAAAAAAAAATAATAGCAATAGTAATAGCAAACAACCTGAAATTGTACTTTGCTAGCTACTAGATTGAGTGTCACAGCCAATACTTTTAGTTGATTTTTTTTAGCAAGACACTCCTCATATAGCGGCCTGTGGTGCATTTTTAGGTGCTGGTTGCTGTATGTCCTCATGCTGTGGGAACAATTCTTTGACAGCTCTTACAAATTGCCTGTTTGTGTTCGGTGTCTGTGACTTTGAAACCAAAATATTCCCATATAACAGACATGCTGTTTTTCTTTGATATAAATTCATCTATTAATGCTTTTGAAGCGGCAGATGTCATCATCCCACTCGTTTGCGCTTTCCTTTTTTTTTTTCTTTTTTATTGTGGGCTTTCACATACTTTCAGTTGAGCAATTCTGATTGGCCAGAATGAAAGTGTGCTCACTCAGTAAGACTGTCTAGTAAGACTGTCACACACAGACGGCAGTCACACATTTGCTCTGGGCGGAGGAAATTAAATAATATATTTCATATAGCAGCCTCTTGTGATTGCAATTCGATTTCGATTAATTGCACAGCCCTAGCCTAAAGTATGAAAACACTAGTCTGCACTCTGCAGACACTTAAGAAACAGGAGGGTTGAAGTAGTCTGAAACAAAAACTGTAAAACTCAAATCGCAAAACAAAATGACAAAAATAATCAGTTGAAAACAGAAAAATTCAAACTATTATATAGTTGCTTAATCATACGTCACACGTAAAAAAAAAATGAGGAAAAATGTGAAAAAGCAACTTTTTCAGGCACTAATATAGAGAAATGCATATGAAGAGTTTAGATGCGAAAACCTCTAAAAGCCATCTGATGTTTTCTTCTAAAACTAGCATTTTTCTCCGACTCTTGTGTGTTGGCTCATTCATTCATTCATTTTCTTGTCGGCTCAGTCCCTTTATTAATCCGGGGTCGCCACAGCAGAATGAACCGCCAACTTATCCAGCAAGTTTTTACTCAGCAGATGCCCTTCCAGCCGCAACCCATCTCTGGGAAACATTCACACACACACTCATACACTACGGACAATTTAGATTACCCAATTCACCTGTACCACATGTCTTTGGACTGTGGGGGAAACCGGAGCACCCGGAGGAAACCCACGCGAAGGCAGGGAGAACATGCAAACTCCACACAGAAACGCCAACTGAGTCGAGGTTCGAACCAGCGACCTTCTTGCTGTGAGGCGACAGCACTACCTATGTGTTGGCTCAGTAATTTTACATTTATAGTGATGGATAAGTTCTTTTAATCGCCTTTCAAGTGAAATAACTGAACATAAACATTGGAGGTTAAGAAAATGTTTCTTTCATTTAGAGGTTTTTGCATCTGAACTCCTCATATATTTTCTAAAGAGATTGTGGTTCTGTTTGCAGGAGCCAGTCTGTGGGGGCCGCTGAAGGAGCTCTGGGAGGCTGTGGAAGGGGCCATTTGGAGACGTCAACCAGAAAGTGTTCATCTTTTAGATCTGCAGTTGAAGAAACACAAACCCTACTTCCTCAACCTCTTTAAAAACCCAGTACGTATACAATAATCTGACCAATATGATAATGGCATAACTGTTTGGCTGCAGAAGTTTTGTTCTGTTTAACAGTAACACGGCGTTGAGATAAGTATCCAAATGTTTTCGCAATGTAGGTGACTCGCGCTCTGCTGCAGCTGGTGCTGTATTGAACAGACGCACGTCACTTTATAACTGTAACCATTTTTCGACTGAACTAAGTAGATTTTTGATGTCTTGTTTTTGATGTGTTGCACCATTTGGAGGGCTGGAACAAATTTACTCGGGTGCCAAGTTTGACCCGCGGGCCGCCAATTGAATAGCCCTTGTCTACACTCAAAAAGCTTCAAATACATTCTAGTCTTTTGTACTATTGTACTGGCACTGTTTTATACAGGGTTCATATGGTCATGGAAAACCTGGACAAGTCATGGAATTTTGACATGGTATTTTCCAGGCCTGGAAAAGTTTTGAAAAAACAGAAAAACCCACAAGGTTTTGGGAAAAGTCATGGAAATTACATTTACATTTAGCAGACATTTTTGTCCAAAGCGACTAAAGCTGTGGTCACACTAGAGCTTGTGCTTGCAAAATTCTGTCTTTCTGCGCTGCTAAACAATACGATTAGACTTTATTAAAAGTGAGGGATTTCTTATTTTAAATAGTCTTCTATTGGTCTCACGCAATCACCTAATGGGATTTCGCAGGTGAGAATTCACCAAGCTTAAACTTTCGAATGCAGTGAGTGAAATGCAAAACACGTGCTTGCGTTTCTGGTGTGCCGCATTCGCATGCTTCTGAATGGAAGTCTATGAAGCGGAAAGTGCAGTGTGATCGCAGCTTTCTAATAGAAGCAGTTTAACAAACTATTAAGATTATCTCAAATTACTTTGACAAATGTCTGTATATTGGAATGGAGGTTAATTGAATTTACTTTTCTTTTCTTGCCCAAAAACATGCAACAAAACAAACACATTATTAGTGTTATGTAAGCATCATCTATTTAACATAGATATAAAAATAAATTAAAACTATTGCGTTTAATAAATTATATGCTGTAATAAATTTTAACATTTCTTATGATTTGCCACGTATATGTAGACATTACATGAAACATTAGGGCATGTAAATTGACTTGAAAGTCCTGAAAAAGTATTGGAATCTTTGTAGTAAAATGTGTATGCGCCCTGTTATAAGTAAGGTAAATGGGTAAGCAAAAAAAGCATTTACTGCAGTAATAGGTCTTAGTAAAAGCTTGTGCAACAGTTTGTAACTTACAAATTATCAGACAAGTTTAAAATCTATGGACATAATGAAAATTTCACTGAATAAACATTAAGATAAGATTTATTTAAAGACTTATTTTTAGATTTTTGTGACAGTTAACAAACAAAAGTAAAAGAAAAAATAACAGTACAAATAGAAAAATAAAAATAAACCACACTATAACCCTCTTGTTGTGCAACACAGTAGATGATGTGCATAAACAATATATGATGTGCATTCATTTTACATTTGAGCATATAAACAGGTCAGTATGGAAAGTTGAGATTGACAGCATGGTGCATTAGGTTAAATAAATAACAATAACAATAATAAAAGAAAAGAAAAATTAGGAACGAGAAAAGGGAAAATATAATCAACTGAATAGACTTGGGGGTGGCACACTCTTCAAACTTGTAGTTTTATGTCAAGAAAGAGTTGGATGCTAGTGCTATATCAGCTAGTCCTATATGTACTCATCTGGAAGGTACAGACTAAGAGTGTAAGATGAACAACCATTCATTCTACAGTAAAGTTTCAGTTATTTGACATGCTCTAAGAATGACAACCAAATGTTTGAAAGTTTGATCACTAAACCTCGAAGACTATATTTAATGTTTTCTAATTTAACAAAATAACATTAAGATTAGTTGAATTAAATAATAGACACACATTAAACTGAATGATAAGAGATGGAAATTAAGTGTTTGTTGATAATAAATTATAAAAGGCAGTCAATGTGAATGAAATGTATAGCTGTATGGTTCTGTAATATATAGATATAATACTTATTTTGTACAGTGAAAAGGATGATTTTGCTTAAAATATGAAAAAGGGCACTTTTGGTGATGGATTGTCATATAAATACTAATAAGTTTTGCAAATGTAGCAATTGCTTGTAAACTCTGCATCAAACCATATAAAAAAACCCTGTAAAATAGTATATATTTTCTCCAAAACAGCCGAAGAGTGCAGAACAGAGAGAGAAGGTTCGGAAAGCCAGTACAGAAGGCATTGCTATCCAGGGTCAGCAGGGAGCACGACTACTACCTGAGCAGCTCATCTCTGAAGCCTTCATCCTTAGTGACCTTTTTGACCTTGGAGAACTAGCCGCCCTCGAGCTGCTGCTGGCAGGTACACACTCTCAACATACACCTCAGGACCGTTGAAATTCACATTGCTCTTTTGGTGTCAATGCAGCGAAGTGTCTTTTTAAATAATGGGATTTTCATGTGCATTTTTAGGAGAGCATCAGCAGCCTCATTTCCCCGGCCTGACCCGAGGCCTGGTAGCTGTGCTCCTTTACTGGGATGGTAAACGCTGCGTGGCCAACTCTCTCCGCTCACTTATCCAGTCCAGACATGGGAAGACTTTCACTCTTGACTTGAGGTTTGCTTTTTTGCTTTTCTTCTCTCGTACTTCCTTTTTGAGACATGTTCTGTCTAAGGGTTTGGCAGGTTGTTGTATGCACCGCAAAACAACTCCTAGGGTTATAGAAATGCTGGTTCTTTGAATCTGATTTATTAAAAACCACATTTAAAGCAATGTATTAGCTTGTTAAGTCTGATGTCACCTGAAACAGCTTCTGAATTCAAGCGCTTTTACCAACAAATGGTAAAAATAAACGTTTACAAAGTGATGTAATACTTTCGAAATTTATGATCGCAATATTTATATAACCATGTCTAATATCAGTTGGCAAGAAAGTGACTCATTTTTGTAATAAATTGTAAAAAAAATTGATGTCTGTGATGCAGATGTTCAGAGATATCATGTGTACACCATGCTTTTATTAAAAAAAAATCACTTTAATCTGTCATTTGACTAAAAAGTATCTCATAAACGATTAGTGGCTTAGACCTGGAAACAGTATTTCATACCTCATGACTTAACAACTGGATAGTAATCTAGAGCCCACAACTGTCATATTTGAGGTCATCTATGTATTCTCACGAATGCTTTAAAACATTTGCATATTTTATTGTTTGTATTTGAGTTGACATAATTATTTTTAAGTCAACCAAATAATTATTAATTATTATTATGGGTGCCATCAATTAAAAAATCTATAGGATTTACCTTTTTGGATATTTGCAAAAGCTAAGTGCAAAAGTGATTTATACATGTTGTGCTCAACAGGATATAAAAGTAACAGTAATTCATTGATTAGTCTTTATTGAAAAAAGTTATTATTCCCATCACTGCATATTGTACAGCAAACAATACATGATGTGATGTTCTTCAAGTGTGTGGTTTTACTTTAAAAGGGCTTGTGTGCTTCTAGAGTTTTCTATAGGCACTTTTTAACAAACAGCTTTTTCAAGGTTTGCCTGAAATGTCAGAGTAAAACATTTTGAGCTATTTTGAACCATTTGTCATTTCTTTCCATCCCTGTAGTCCTGAATTGGTGAATCTCACCACACGGTTCACAGATGAGCTGATGGCCCAGGGTTTGACCAAGCAAATACTGAACCTGGTCTCTGACGTCAGCGTGACCCGTGAGTTTGAGAGGCTGCAGAAAGAGCGTGGCCTTGGCAATGAGAAACACAGGAAAGAGGTGAAGCTCCTTTTATCAGCTGATGAGAACTACATAAGCAAATGGATAGTTTTATTAATATTCTTTTTTTATTATTAGGTATCTGACCTCATTAAAGAGTGCCGACAGTCTCTGGCAGAGTGTTTGTTTGCGTGGGCATGCCAGTCACCGCTAGGCAAAGATGACACGCTGGCTCTTATTGGGCATTTAGAGATGGTGACCGCTGAAGCTGATGGCTCTTTGGATAGTGTCAACCTTGCTTTGGTCATGGCATTGCTCTATTCCCTGGATGTTAGTTTTCTGGAGCAAGGAACAGAAGATAGAGAAGGTATTCATGCTTTCCTGTGACCATCACTGTATTTTTATCTAAGTTCTTTAAAAGTGTAGTTCATCCAAAAGATTCAAACCCTTTAGAGTTTCTTCTGTTAAACACAAGAAGATGTTTTGAAGAATTCTGAAAAACTGTAACCATTGACTTCCATAGTATTGTTTTTTTTCTACTATGGAAGTCGATGGTTACAGGTAGGCTTGGGCGGTAATACGGTATTATGGTATACCGCGGGATCTAAAAATAGCAACGGTGTCAGTTTCAATACCGTTATACCGTCATAAAATATTAAATATCCTTTATTTAATGCCTACAAAAACGTATGTGTGATTGTCATCACGGGACAGTGTGGAGGAGAGAGGGAGAGGGAGGGGGAGAGGGAGAGGGAGAGGGAGGAGGAGAGGCAGGGGGAGAGAGGGAGAGGTGACAGTTTGGCAGTTTCGACTGAACAGAAGGGAGACGTGGTTAATATGAACGAGAGGTTTGCATTAGAGCTGAAGATCTTTGCCCGAACCCGGCGAGACCCGAAAAAATCCAAATCCCTGCAATAAAATCCATCCTTGCAAAGGTGAAACAAACTATGACGAAGTAGTAAAAAAAGCTAATTTTGACGGCGGTCAAGCCAGTCACTAGCTCAGAAAGAGCGCATTCCAGCCAGGTATTTAGCTCATACACTGCGTATTACGGTAGAGCCCTAAACCGCAAGCTGACAGGTAAAATGACGAGGCCTCTCGCTACAATAAAACTACTGTCATGGAAAATTAAATGGACGTTTCTGACTGGTAGAAGATGAACAAACAATCCAACCCAAAACTTGCAAAATCAGCCAGATCAGAACTCTGCATCTCGACCTGTAGCCGCAGGAAAGGGTGTTCAGCTGCTGGACGCACCATGCGTGCAAGACTGCGCTAAAGCCAGTGGATTTAATAATGTTCCTCCACAAACACACGTAGCCTAATCTTGGTGAGTAAAGGGTTTTAAATTATAAATAAATATTAATTAAACCATATAATCATAATGTAAACAGAGTATACAGACTAATGGTGGCATTATTATCTTAATATTCAGCTTCACCGACGCCCTAATGCCAGATTTTGAAGAGAAGTGGAGAAATAAATATTGCAGAGCCTTTATCTTAATTCCTTTATTGCCAAAATACCCGTCATCATTTAGAGTTTATTTTAATTTGATTTGTTAAGCAAGATTTCTTTTCATTGGTGTGTTGGCCAATTTAAAGGTGCTAGTACCTAGACCAGAGCGCTGAGATGTTACAGTGTTACAGAGGACTTATTTTATTTCTTTGTTCCAACTTCTAAGTGGCCTATAGTTTACGTTTGCTACGAATAAATGATGTTTAAACATATAAATGACTCATTCTTTAAAAAATGCATTAGAGCTGTGAGAGCATTTGAATAATGTCGGGCTGTAAACGGGTTAGGGCTTTATAAAGCTGTCAATCAAAATGTACTTGTCGGACTCGGGACCTATCGTGCCTAATTTTTATGGCCCGAATACAGCTCTCTGCATTCCCGCTGCTGTTCCGCGAGAGCCGGCCAGATTTCTTACGGTGTGGGAGTAAATTTCTGAATAAATCGCGGTAGAGGTATGTGTGTGTTTGTGTAAGAGAGAGAGAGAGAGAGAGAGAGCTGTGCGTCGCTTCGCTCTCTCTCTCTCTCTCTCTCTCTCTCTCTTTCTGACCGCGAGCATAAGGTCGCATAGAAAGTATTCAGTTTCTGAATGGTTTAGGCTCAAGCCAACAGCTTGGTGACGCTGTCTGAGCCTTACGTCATAATTTTTTTTATTAAGCCGGTAATACCGGATACCAGGGTAAAATATGGAGGCGGTTTGACGGTATCAAAATTTGGATACCGCCCAAGCCTACAGGTTTTCAGCTTTCTTCAAAATGTCATGCTTTTTTAGACTTTATTTTTATTTATTTTATTTAGGGAAGAAAGAAAATGATAAAGATACAAAATAAAAAATAAAATAATGTGAACTTACATGAACAGTTGACTGGTCACATTACCAAATACATATAAGGATCAGTTTACACTATGTAAATGCATACGCACAATCCATTTCTCCCAGTATTGCAGGTATTTGTCCATTTGTAGTTTTAATGAAAATTCATCCTCTCCATATATTTCCAATTTTGTAAAGGGTTCAAGTTGTAGCCACTTTGGAGCGAAATATCATGATTTGTGTTCAACAGAATATAGAAACTTGAACAGGTTTTGAATCACTCAAGGTGGTGTGAATATTCATTTTTGTGTGAACTATCCCTTTATGTATGGCGCTTTGAGTAAAAAAAAGGTTGTATAGTAGGATTAGGTGACATTCTGTCTTCACAAACATGTGATTTTGTATCGATTAGACCTGCTCCAGGCTTTGCCTCTGTTGACGGAGAAACAGTACGTGGCAGCCGTGCACAGTCGGCTGGTTGAGGGTCAAGGCTGGAAGCTTCCAGGACTGCAGGCAGTGGTGCAGCTGGCCTGGGCGCTGTCTCTGAGGGCCCTTTCACAACTTCCACAGGGTGCAGGTGGGTATACACTTTGACTGTTGACGTCAAAATTCTATTTACTCTCATGACATGAACTTTTTGTTAACCTTTATCAGCTTTAGTGGAGTTCACAGAAGCAGATGAGGCTCTGGCGGACCAGGCACTGTTGGGAGGCGTCTTCCTCTTTCTGACGGAGGGCGTCCTGGGAAGTGATGGTTTCAGCCAAGAAGAATTTTACACTCGGCGGCTGCATTCTCTGATTACTGATTTCCTGGCACTCATGCCAATGAAGGTGTGAAAAGAAATACATGCATTTGAGCTATTTTTTATCATGTGCTGTACACATGAATGTATTGTTCAGACATTTGGGCTTAAAAGATTTTTGTTATCTTGTTTTTGAAAAAAATTGTTAATGCTTGCAAAAGCTATGTTTATCTATACAGTAATACAGTGCAAAATGTGTAGTGTAATATACAGTCAATCCTGAACTTTATTTATAAACCTGACAAATTCTTTTATTCAACCAGCAAGTTGAATTTTTTTGACTGTAAATGACACATGCTTCTGCTAAAATATAATAAGACGATGTACAAGAGGCATTGTGGGAAAAAAACAACAACCTATTGCTCAGCTTTTATTTACATCGAACACAACTGTAAGTCTGTATTTGTCTGGAGTATGAATCATTTCAGGTTTGACTATGTTTTTGAATATATAATCATACTTTAATTTTCGGTGTCACATGATCCTTTTGAAATCATTTTAATACGCTGATTTAGTGTTGTATAAACATTTTCCTGTTTTTCCTCTGGTTTTGATGTTAAAAACAAGCTGTTTTGATGGAAAACATGGTGTTTTTTAGGATTTTCTGAAAAATAGAAAGTTCAATAGGACAGTACTATTTATATAAAACCAAAATCCTTGTCTTTACTGTCATGTTTGATTAAATGAATGTGTCCTTAATTTGGTTATATCTAACAAAATCTTGTAGACCTCAGCGTTTTGAACAACAGTATATTTGGCCATGATTTTTAAAATGTGCTTGTATTTTGCTCATGAGTGTGTGCTAAGTGAGAAGTGTTTTCTGCAGGTGAAACAGTTGCGCAACCGTGCCGATGAAGATGCTCGTCTGATCCACATGGCTCTGCAGATGGGCAGCGAGCCGCCATCATCTCTTCGCAAGGACCTGGACCACCTCATGATCCTTGTGAGCATCCATTTACATTTAACACACTACAGCCATAATTATTCGTTTTATTTAGATTCTCATGCACCCATATATGCCAACACTGAAGGATTGTGTTATTTTTGAACTGATGTAATTAATGCTGTGATTTCTTTGTGCTCTTCTTTTTAGATTGGAGAATTTTACAGCAAAGATCCATTTGAACTTGAGCTGGCTTTAGAGTTTTGGTGTCCATCAGAGTCTCTTCAGCACACTTCACTCACTGGATCTTTTCTTGGAGTACCTCTCCAAAGACCCCCACATAAACAGGTGCATCAGCAAAAAACAAATGTCTGTTGTCTTTGCTAAATTATATTAAAACAGGACAAAATTCTTACCAGCTGATATTTTGATAATTGTGTCATTTTTAAATAATTGATGTATTGAATTAATTCATAGCCCGTGTCATTAAACAATTGCACGAAGCCAAATCATGATAACAGTTTTAGTTTTGATATATTATGCATGTCTAATTTAATATTTTGGGAAAAGGGCTTGTCCCTAAATGTACAGTTGAATATAAAATATTAGCCCTTCTGTGAAATTTTAGTTCTTTCTCAAATATTTCCCAAGTAATGTTTAACAGAGCAGAGGAAATTTTCAATCTTTTTCTTTTAGTTAGACTAGAAAACAAAGTAAAAACAGCTAAGGCCAATATTAATAGCCCACTTAAGATTTCCTTTCTTGACTTGTTACCAGGCAAACTACTGTTTATTAGTTTAAACTAAATTAAGGTTAGCTTTAATTAACCTAGTTGAGCTTTAAATTGCACTTTAAATGGAACACTAGTATTTAGGGCTGCTCGATTATGGGGAAAAATCATTATCACGATTATTTTGGTCATAATTATAATCACGATTATCAGTTGAAGTCAAAATTACTCGCCCTCCTGTAAATTTATTATTTTTTTAAAATAAATATTTCCCAAATGATGTTTAACAGAGCAATGAATTTTTCGCAGTATTTCCTATAATATTTTTTTCTGGAGAAGGTCTTATTTGTTTTACTTTGGCTAGAACAAAAGCAGGCTTAAATATTTTTACAATTATTTTAAGATCAATATTATTAGTCCCCTTAAGCAATATATATTTTTGATTGTCTGCAGAAGAAACAACTGTTATACCATGACTTGCCTTATTACCCTAACTTGCCTAATTAACCTAATTAAGCCTTTAAATGTCACATTAAGCTAAATGCTTGTATCTGGAAAAATATCTAGACAAATTTTATGTTCTGTCATCATAGCGAAGATAAAAGAAATCAGTTATTAAAAAATAGTTATTAAACCTATTATGTTTAGAAATGGGTTGAAAAAAATCTGAAATTTTGCTCGTCAGTGTTTGGACTCAATAGTAGTGATTATTAAACCACACTGAACTGAGCTAAACGGAACAGAACTTAAACTTTGAAAAATTAACTACACTGTTTCAGTTTTACTATGATCTTTTATGTGAAGCTGCTTTGACAGAATCTACATTGTAAAAGCGCTATACAAATAAGGGTAAATTGAATTGAATTGAAAAAATCGCTACTAATTCAGGAGGGCTAATAAGTCCGACTTCAGCTGTATATACAGTTATTTTCCTCCTTGTAAATAAGGAAAGGGAAATAAATGCAATAGAATAAGAAATATGAAACAAACTGTTCTTTAAGCATCTTCCCTGTTGGAAAAAGCTTTAATTATAGCTACAAAAGTCCCTCAGTCAAGAGCAGTGAATAATTGTATCCTTTTGTTGCTTGATTAATGATTAAAACAGTCAACAGCAGGAATATTGCGCGCTGTCACTTTAAGAGCAGTACAGTTCTGATTTATGGTTTCTCTTTCACATGTCTCAACTCGTTTGTTTATTACACAAATAAATAATATGAATAATCACTAAATACTGTGTTTTGACACAAATGTGCATGTATTTGACCATTAAAGCGCTCCCATTAAGATGACTTTAGATGTGTGTGCTTCTCATCTCTGAGGCTGAGCGCACACACACACACACACACAACAGCATGAGATCTCTCACTCTAGCTTTTAAAAACATGAATGATTTGAATGTACATTAATGAATGATGCGCATCCCGTGCTGCAAAAGTTACATTACAGTACATGCTTTTAGTCATTTACACGTCAAACTGAGCTTTGCAGGGCAGCAAATGTGTTGGGGGCGGTATATGATGCAATAATCGTTTCGGTAGATTAATATATTTTCATAATATAGTTAGAAGCCAAAATTTAAATCAAACCGTAATTTCGATTAATTGCACAGCCCTACTAGTATCTAATAAATGACTAGTAAAATATTAAGAACTGTCTGTCATCATAGCAAAAAGACAACAAGTTGGTGATTAGAAATTAGGTATTAAAACTTGTGTTTAAAAATGTGTTGAAAATATCTGGAGAATATATTGAAAAAGAATTCAAATTTCTCAGGAGCTCTAATAATGTTATTGTAAATGACAGTACTATTTGAACTCCAAATCTTGTAATAAAACTTGTGATTTCAGTTTGTATTTATGTGTGTGTTACCTCAGGTGGTTCTCTCCAAGTTTGTGCGTCAGATGGGTGATCTGCTTCCTGCGACTCTTTACATCCCATACCTGCGAATGCTGAAAGGACTTGCAAATGGCCCTCAGTGCTCCCACTACTGCTTCAGTCTGCTTAAAACTAACGGCGCTCCACACGGTGGGTGCAACATCACCTCTGAAATGAGAATGGCTGAATGTAAATGTTGTTTTGGAGAGTTGTTTGTATTGCTTTGTAAGTTTGTTTATGATGGCTGTTTCAGGAGAGAACCGGCAGGCTGGAGTGTCAGGCAGTCTTGTGTCATGGGAACACTTTTTCCACTCGCTCATGCTGTACCATGAAAACCTGCGACGAGACGTGCCCAGTGCCGACAGCACACAATACCGTCATCTACCAATCAGAGGCATCACTCAGAGAGAGCTGGAAGGTCTCACTGCATTCCTCCAGCTGCTCACCACGATCATCACCTGGGTATAACACACTTCGAATCTGACACTCTGAAATTCTAATCAATATTGACTCCAGGGTGTCTGCACGGTCTTAAAGCTTTAAAATGTCTTTAATTTAAATTTTTTTATTAAATTCACTGAAATATGATTTTGAAGGTATTAAATACTTTTAAACAGGTGTTAATTTTCCTTTGTCCATGTATATCTACCTAATTTGTACAACCTGAAATCTGAAATTTAATTCCTAATGGTCTTAGAAAGGTCTTAAAGTCTTAAATTTGGCTTGATGAAACCTGCAAAAACCCTGAACTCTGAAAGTAACTTGTGGATCAAATCTGAAAGCTGATACTCAAGTCCACTTCATATCACATGTGAGTGCAGTTATTGCTCTTGTCATGTTATTGTTTTCTTATGTATTTCAGAGTGAGAATGCACGTCTGGCTCTTTGTGAGCACCCTCAGTGGACCCCTGTGGTGGTGATGCTGGGTTTGCTACAGTGTAGTGTTCAGCCCGTCCTCAAAGCTCAAGTCCTTCATGTTCTCGCTGCTTTTGGCAAATCTCCTGAGATTGCAGCCTCCCTCTGGCAGTCTCTAGAGTACACACAGGTTAGCTGCAACACCAAAATATATGATGCCAAACTGCAGTTGCATTTCAAATTTTTAAAGAGATTTGACAAGGTTATTTCACTTCAGTGATGTTTTCAACCTCAAGATCATCAAGGTTATTATGAAACCGCTCATTGTTGCATTTTGTCCCTCTCAGATCCTACAAACAGTGAAAATCCCTGGTCAGAGACAGGCTGCTGGGATCGAGGTGAGCTGGCTGTATTCTATCACATATACTTGGTCTCAGGCCTCATCATTTTAATAGAAGAAACTTATATATATTACAAATATTTGTAATTTTAATTTATTTTAATTATTTTAATTTATTATTATTTTATTTATTTAAGAAAAGCATCAGGTTTTCTTTGCTTGATTGTAGGGCTTTTATGGAGCCACTTTACCTTTACATGTTTACATCTACTATGTAGATAGTTAATCATTTAGCAAGAATGTAGTTAGTGTTTACATGGTTTTTAAATGTAAAAAAATCACTTTATAATACTAATATTTGTTGTCTTTGTAATATCTGTGACCCTGGACCACGAAACCACTCATAAGCATCAATTTCTAAAAGCTGAGATTTAAACATCACATGAATTGTGATGTATTCATTGTCGTGATACAACTATTTGATCATCTGAGGGTTCCAGAAAATATTAATGCTGAGAAAGTCCTTTTTAAAGTGCTTTGCGATGCACAGTACTAACCAGATATTGAGTTTTGATACATTTACAGTCAGGAATTTACTAAATAATTTAATGGAACAGGATCTTTAATTAGGTGGCACAGTGACTTAGTGGTTAGCACTGTCCCCTCACTGCACAAAGGTCGCTGGTTCGAGTCCCAGCTGAGCCAGTTGCCATTTCTGTGTGGAGTTTGCATCTTTTCCCCATGTTGGCGTGGGTTTCCTCCGTCTGCTTTGTTTTCCCCCACTGTCTAAAGACATGCACTGAAGGTGAATTGAATAAGCTAAATTGGCAGTAGTGTATGAGTGTGTGTGTGAATGTGACAGTGTATGTGTGTTTCCCAGTACTGGGTTGTGGCTGCAAGGGAATTTGCTGCATAAAACATATTTTGGAATAGTTGGCAGTTCATTCTGCTGTGGTGACCTCTGAAATAGAGACTAAGCTGAAGGAAAATGACTGAATGAATGATCTTTAAAATCCGTACAATGTATTTTTGTCGATTTGCCAAAAATAACCTGTGCAACCTAAAGCAGGTCGCACACCAGAAGCGCCGCTCGGCGCCGCGACACGGCGCGCACATGACCGTTTAAAGTATCGCACACCAGACGCGCACATTCAAATGATATTTAACATGAAACTAATCAGATGGTGCTCTGTGGCGCAGCTGAAAAATGAACTGCGTCCTGAGCCGTGGACGGGCGCCGCTGACATCCTCCGACTTGCGGCGCCAGTGTGTGTATCCTGATAGAAACCTATGTTTAGAATTCTAAAATGCATGGCGCAGCGTGGCACTTCTGGTGCGCGACCTGCTAAAGACTGGTTTGGTGGTTCAAGGTCTCATATGCACATTTACTGTGACATTAATTTCTTTTCATTCTGAAGGTGGAGCTGAATGAGATTGAATCGAGCTGTGAGGAGTATCCACTCACACGGGCCTTTTGTCATCTGATCAGTACTCTGGTGGAGAGCGCACTTCCAGTCAATCTTGGAGCAGGACTGCGAGCTCCCGGCTTCCAACCTTATCTTGACTTCCTGCGTGACTCTGTGTTTCTGGCCTTCCCCACGCGAGCCTACCGTCGCTCAGCAGAAAAGGTTTGTCGTGGCCTGCTAAACTTAAATGGATAGTTCACCCAATAAATGTGAATCATTTGCAAAGCTGTTTGAGTTTCTTTCCTCTTTTGAACAAAAAATAAGAGATATATTAAATACTCCTGGAAAATTGGGAGCCATTAACTTCTGTAGTATTTTTCCTGCTATGGTTGTCAGTGGATACTGATTTCAATAATTCTTTAAAACATATATATGTTTGTTCACAGAGGACAGAAACTAGATAAAGGTCTCATACATGTTAAAACCACTTTGAGAGTAAGTATTTTTATGTGTGTGTGAACTATCCTATAACTGTAAACCTGTTCGTGGTATTGTATTTTTACATAATTATTTATTATTATTATTCTTTCTCTGTAGTGGGAGGTAGCTGAAGCAGTGCTAGAGGTTTTTCACAAACTTCTGCGAGAATATGAGCCCCAGCCTTCAGACTTCCTGCCGGAGATGGTGGAACTTCAAGGAGAGCAGGTGCCGGCCCATAAGCCCCCGGGGCACAGCCTGATGTTCCACCTTTTGAACGACTCACCCACCCTCTCTCTCTGCCTCAACCTACTGGAGGAGGGCGCCCGCCAGCTTGACACATACGCTCAATTCCCTGGTCTGTGACTCCAAAAATTCTCTGTTTGTAAACCTGTAACCATTGACTTCTATAGTATTACTTTTTCATACTATGGTTGTCAATGGTTACAGGTTTTCAGCTTTCTTCAAAATTACTTATTTTGTGTTAATAGTGAGCCAATTGTCATTTTGAGTGAATCTCTTTAAGTAAGCAAGTACACAATAGTCTATGTTTGAGCATGGATAAGTCGAGTAAATAATAATATAATTTTAATTTTGGGTGAACTGTGTCTTTAAAGCCCTATCAGGAGATGTATTCATTTGCCCTATTGCAGGATGACAATGCTTTAAAGGTTTATCGGGCTTAAATCATGATAGATGGCTAAATTTGTGCAGACAAAGTGACCACCAGCTATTGAACTGAACAACATAGAATGTATTTACATACTGGCTCTCTGCAGGGTCAGATAGTGGCTGTCTTTAGAATAAATTGTGATCGTGGTTACTCAAGAGTTGCTTTTTTTTGGCTAGATCTTGTATTGACAATGGAAGCACCGCCAGTGTCTGACTCTGCAGCATCCACTGTCTAGTTCAGCACATCTCAGGTTTTCAGTGCGGTTCGGGTCAATTGCTGGTTAATTTATGTCTGCAAATTAAGCGTTTTTTACTTTTTGAGCCCATTAAATCTTGGCATTGTCATCCTGAATAATGGCAGTGGGATTCGCATTTCAACATGGTTGTTTAAGAAATAAAAAGCTACGATCTGCATTAATGATGCTGTGATATTTAAGGAAACAGATATGTAACAAACCAGAAACATAAATCACTCCAATACAGATCATAGACTTTTAAATATTAGCTTAGATAAGGCATGACTCAATGATGACCATCTAAATTAAAATACAAATGATCTAAATTTAGCAGATTTATAGTTAAATTCACATTTCCCAAATAATGATTTACAGAGCAAGAAATGTATCACAGTATTTCTTATAATATTTTTTCTTCTGGAGAAATTATTTGTTTTATCTTGGCCAGAATAAAAGATATTATTATAAAAGACAATATTATTAGCTACCCCCCCCCTCCCCCCCTCAAAAGAAACATGTTCTTTCGATCGTCTACAAAACAAATCATCGTCATACAATGATTAGACTAATAAGCCTTACTTGCCTAATTAATAGGGGTTTAGATCATGGTTGATTTGTGATTCGTACAGATCACAACCTATGGTTCACACACGTGGCCCGCAGATTAATACATTTTTTTACTGGTAGATTAATCCCAAATTTGTAACGATTACAGTGAGATCACCTCATGTCATTCAAATTACATGTATGAAAGGATTTAGGCTTTCCTGTAAAATATAATAATGACAGAAAAAGTCATGGTGGGTTATTATTCAGGATGTGGTGGTTTCATTAAAGCTGTTTTCTGTCACTACTCGTTTAGCCTGCATTAATGCATTCAGTGTAAGCTGCACGATTAATCATTAAAAGATCTTGATCTCAACACCCACGCAACATAAATTATAAATGATGGTGATTTGCGTATGTTTATTAATCCTTCGAATCGCTTCATACAAATCTGAAAACCAAAAATCAAGAGATTCAGTCTGTAGTGTTTTGAGTTAGTTATGAAGTTACAAACAGTCAAATAACAAACAAGTACTGAGATAACAGTTTATAGTTTAGATATACCCACTGATGTTTATGCTAAAGAATAAAATCACCGTCATATGGATTTAACAACGCTCAAGTTAAAGTTGTAGGCAGCAATTACATTATTTAACCAATAGGTGGCGACAACCAGCCATAAAAAATATGACCGATCCGATTTGAGACAAAAAAAAAAAAAAACTATGTGATCTGAACCGTGAGATTTGGGATCCGTTGTACTACTACTAATTAAGCCTATAAATTGTACTTTAAGTTGAATACTATTATCATAAAAAATACCCAAGTCAAATTTTATGTACTGTCAACATGGCAAAAATAAAAGTAATCAGTTATTAGACATGAGTTATTACAACTATTATGTTGAATGACTGTTATGTAGAAATGTTGAAAAAAAATCTTACAGGGTGGCTAATAATTCTGACATCAACTGTATATGCAAGGACCCATACCACTTAATAATAATAAAAAGCTATTTAATATATGTAAACAAACCTATAGTATAACGCAGGGGTCACCAAACTTGTTCCTGGAGGGCCGGTGTCCTGCAGATTTTATCTCCAACCCTAATTAAACACACCTGAACAAGCTAATCAAGGTCTTAGGTATATGTGAAACATCCAGGTAGGTGTGGTGAGGCAGGTTGGAACGAAACCCTGCAGGACCGAGATTGGTGACCCCTGGTATAAAGGCTTGTTTCAGCTTTATTCAACATTTATATATGATTTATATGTTAAATAAATTCTGTTTTTTTTAAAGAAAGGAATAGAAAACACTACAATAGTATTATCCCACAAATATTACTGTTTTAATTGTATATTTAAATAAAACCCCGGTAAGCATAAGAGGCTTGAGTAGAGACCCTCTCATGTGATTGTATGCATTACACAGTAAATGGACAATATGAATAAATGAATCCTTTCAAAAACACAAACATAACGAAGTTGTTCTACAATTTTTAAGAGACAGCATTATCGCTGTGGTGAACAGTATATGCTGTAAATTAACATGCTATTAATTAAAGTTTGCTGTTAGAATGCTACCAGTTTTTATATTAGTTGTAACTGGTATTTAGTTTTTTTAGACCAAATGTTGATCCATTCCTAAATACTGAATCATTGTTCATTACGCTATTGTGGTTCTTTTGTTGTAGGCAAGAAGCAGTTAGAGTCTGCAGTTCTGCACTGTCTGTGTTTGCTGGAGCTAGCCCTGCAGAAGGAGGTGACGTTCATGGATCTGCTGAGAGAAAGTCAAACATCACTTCTTGTGTCTCCTTTGGAGCAGCTCCTGCAGGGCGTCAGTGCTCAGAGCAGAAAGGCAGATCACATCACCAACATTGCTAGGTCTGCTTTTTTTTCCAGTAATGCTTTAAAGTAAGTCTGATTCAGGGCTGATTTCACACATTTGGCTTTTTACAGGTACCTGTATCACAGCAGCTCCAATCCTGATGCTGCGTTCCAGAGTGCAAAGATCCTGCGACGGATCACTCGCTACCCAAACATCCAGGCCAGACTGGTTGGAGACTTCACTCATGATCAGGTAAGGCATCTCACACTGTTTATGGAGAGAAAATCTATTAGAGTTTCATTTAATATAACAGAGTCATTGTGTAATGAGCAGGCAGTGAGTGAGAGGTTGATGGCCGGCTTTGTGGAGTGTCTGGACAGTGAAGAGGCTCAGGAAGGAGTGACCACAAATGGTGAGTCTAAAATGATCTCAGAATGGCTAAATATAATCTATTAATGAACTTCTAAGACCCTTTTTTTAAATTCAGATTCAGACTCTGAGAAACGGGTGGCCAGAATTCGTCATGAGACCAAGATCCACATCTTGAATCTTTTGATCACGTCCCTGGAGCTAACAGGCCCCAATCTGGGCCTGTATCTGCTTGGCTATGAAGTCAAGAAGCCAGTTTCCTCCACTAACCTTCAAGACCCAGGTAAGATGTCACTTTTACTTGAAATATATTGTGCACTCCATCATTTTAAACTGCAAACTCTCTCTTAAACAGCAAATACTCCACGTATTGGTTCAGGCACTGCTTTGACATCGATACTGTTTTTTTTTTAAAGTATATTTGATTTTTGATATGATACCCCACCCTAAACACTAAATACTCATCATGTTTCCATTAATAAGGTGTTCTTGGCTGTCCGCGGAGCTGCCTGCATGCGATTCTCAGTCTGCTTCAGAGGGGCAGTGACTCTCGCTCTGGACCTGGGCTCATTAAACAGGCTCCTCAACTAGCTGAACTCTGCTACCAGGTACTCATTAGCTCCTTTCACACATACAGACCTTTCCGAAAAATTACCTTCAATTTTCCGGAAAGATCTGTATGTGTGAACAGGCCCTTTGTGAAAATACCGGTAAATTTGTTTTGGCTATTTTCTGGAAAGAGAAGTTGTAACATTACCGGTAATTTGGCGGAATGCTGCGCTGTGTGAACGCAGAAGAAAGATTGCCGGAAAGAGCGCATCCATGTCTAGAACATGCTGACGTGAGACGTCTACTTTAGCCAATCAGAACAGTCAGACGCAATTACATCCATGTGGTTTATAAAAATAAAAGCCTTTGATTATTTTTCCAGACACATTTAGCTGCTAGATGTTAGTCAGATATTGTTTCTATGTTCCTTCTTAATGCCTACTGGGTAAATAATTATCGATAATATGCTTATGGTAAGCCGTTGTTTGTTTACTTTCAAGCTCTGCTTCCTTCAGTTGCGTGACACGTCGCCTGTGCCCGTAAAGCAGTCTGTTAGCACCAGCACACACACATATCATGTACATCCTGACTTGCAAAAGTGTTCCTCTATATTTTCATCGAAGTTGTTCACAATACTCATCCATCCACAGAGTTTGTAATGTAATCAGATGTTTACAAATACAAGCCCAGCCGTTTAGAGGTCATCTTTGGTTAATGATGACAGAATTTACCGGTATTTTGGAATGGATGTGTGAATGGTCTTTTCCGGAAAAATTACACACTGTCCTCGCCTGTGTGAACAGCGCTTTGTTTAAATTTACCGGTAAAGTCGTTTCGTAAATATTCCGGATATTTACCAGTATTACTGTGTGAAAGGGGCTACTGTTTAACTGCTTTACATTCAGACATACTTTATATTGTGTTGGTAAAATATGTTTATCTGTGTTTATGCTAGGTGATTTATCAGCTGTGCGCATGTCCTGACACCTCTGGCCCAACCATGAGATACCTCAGGACCAGTCAGGACTTCCTGTTCTCTCATCTGCAACACCTACCTTTCGTTTTATCAGGTCAGCTGTCTTTTTGCACTTCTTGGCTCTGCCTTCATCTGTTATTATCATACGCTCAAATGAGGGGGCTGCGTCCAAAATCGCCTACTACTCATGTAGGTACTACTTTTAAATTAGAATTTACTACATTATCATTAGAAATGTATGTTCTATATAGTATAAATGTCAGTAGTATGAATGGAACTCGGACTTACTGCATCCGCCATTTGTCATTATCACGTGACCTATCTGCACCAGTTGTGTTGCGTCACTTCCAATCATAAATTCACTCGCGTGGCATCATGGGATAGATTTGTATCCATCAGATGCATACTTGAGAATCTTGCCGGAAGTAGTAGGTCATCCGGATACTTCTCATTTACTGTTTTTTGAATACTATGAATTCATACATACTACTTGACTCGCATACTGGTTTTAACGTACTATATAGTATGGAAGTATGCCATTTCGAATGCAGCTTTTTTTTTGTCCCTCTATTCACCTTATTCTCCGCTGACGAGTGGGCGCTGCCATTTGAATCTTTTTGGCTTAAGACTTCCGGTCTCATTCACTTCCATTAATATTTTGACGTTAAAAACTGCTCATTACGCTGCAATATGACAATTCAATAATTCTAATCTTTGTTTTGGTACAATACAGTGCAGCATGAATACGTTGTTATGAGTACCTTTTTTTGGTGTGCTTTATTAAAACGCATTGTAATGACGGTTCAAATGATGGGTGTTTACAAAAGTTTATGCAAATTAACAGTGGAAGCGATCAAAGTAGCTAAGCATTTTAAACCTCATTACCCCTACTTTGTGTCATCTACTTATAACCAGATTGACAAAACGGCATCTTATTATCAGGTTTAATCAAGGCATTACAAAAAAAATATTCAATTCAATTTAATTGTTTTTTCATTGTATATTATATGCTGGTTGATGGCACCCATTTACTTCCATAATATTTTATTTTCCTTATGTAGAAGTCAGTGAGTGCCATCAACCAGCATTCTTCAAAATATCTTCTTTTGGGTTCAGCAGAAGAAAGAAACCTTTAAATGTTTAAAACCAATTAAGGGAGGGTAAATGCTGAACACATTTTTTTTTTTTTGGGTCAACTATCCTTTAAAGTATGCCGTTCAGAGATTTTGTATAATATTTCCAGTCTTATTTTGACTTGTCAACTGATTGAGTCCATCTTTATTTCCTATAGAAAATGAGATCGCGGCTCTGTCTCAGATGTCCTGGCTAATGAAAACCACAGCAATCGAGCTCCGAGTGACCTCACTGAACCGCCAGCGCTCACACACACAGAGACTCCTGAACCTCCTCCTCGATGACCAGCCACACACATTACACACAGGTAATACACACAGTTCCCCAGAGTTCCTCACAGTGTCCAAGCAGCAGCATTGAAGTCAACACATTCTTTGTATTTGTCTTGCAGCAGATGGAGAGACCGGCATGGAGGAGGAGAACAGATCAGTCAGTGGTTTTCTGCAGTTTGGCACCGTCTCCAAGGGTAAGGGAAAGTATTGATACAGTAGCTACAAAAAGGGGTTTCATGGAATCAAAGGAAATTACAACTTGCATTTTACAACCTCCCTAAAGTTAAACAGTTGAGTTGAACCTTTTTTTAATGTATTAAGCCAATATCCAGGTCTGGTGGGAACACTTTTAGTTTAGCTTAGCATAAAGCATTTAATCAGATTTGACCATTAGCATCTTGCTCAAAATAATTTGATAATTTTCCTATTAAAAGAGTTCTGCTCTTCTGTAGTTACATCATGTAATAAGACCGACTGAAAATAAAAGTTCCCATTTTCTAGGCCGATTCGGCTAGGAACTACTGTCTGGTGTAATAATCAGGAGTTTGCTTCTGTACCATGGCTGAGCAGACACAGTTACATTAAGCAGCAATGATTCTATTTTCAGGGCTGCATAATACCATTGATCCTGGTGGAGCCATAGTTCAGCAGCAAATTCACTTAATCATTACTCCAGAATGAGAATACAGCCATATCAACTTAGAAAATAGCAACTTTTCAGTTTTCCTTGGTCTTAGTACATGATGTAACTACACAAGAGTCAAACTTTAAATAGGAAAATTATCAAACCTCTTTTTAGACATCTTTGAGTGAGATGCTAATGGTCTAATTCAATTCAATGATTTATGCTAAGGTAAGCTAAGCTTAGGGTAAAGTGTTGCCCCAAACCAAAATGCTATCTTAAAGGTTAAACTGAACCCTTTAACTCTTGGTGACATGAAAATCAGCCTATTTCCAAATAATAAAAGTGTGAAATAATGGTGTTCCTTTAATCATGGTGATCTCTGGTGGTTTTAGTGCGCAGGAGGCTGCTCAGTGTTTTGGATGCCATAGATTTCAGTCAGGAGGCACCAGAGCTTCTGCAGCTGGACTTCTTTGAGCGCACTCAGATCGAGCAGGTCATCACTAACTGTGAACATGTCAACGAGCAGGGACACACCGTCTGCAATGTCAAGGTACATGGATGAAAAACTGAAAAATATTATATTATTAAAAAAATAATACAAAAAGTATTAAGCTTAAAACTTTTAAATGAAATAGTCTATTCCAATGAAACGCCACAATAATATATATATATATATATATATATAAATATATATATATATATATATATATTATAAATGTTTTAAATTCAGTTAGGAGGTCATGGCCTGATGTGTCAATCTACTATTGGTGCACAACAAAATAGCCAAATGAACTGAAATACATTAAACAAAGCTAAAGAACTGAAAGGACGTAATTTCTATCAAAATTAAACAAAATTTGCCAATTTGTAACAGCTCATGAACACAAACTTTTAGGGGAGTTTGGCTCCTAAACACTTTTGAAGCACTATTGGTCTATATTTACATTTTTTATTAAAATAATAAAGTGGCTATAAAAACTATCCTTTTAATAAAAGCTTCATCAGTATCTAAGCAAAACTGAAATAACACTTGTATAAATCAAACAGAAATGATGGCGGCATTCACTATAATCAATGTTTATTATAAATCCCAAGTATAAAATTAATTTCAGGTGAATCTAGTACTCTAATATCTCATTCATTAAACAAATGAGAATGTGCTTTCTGCCTGCTTAGTTTTTCTTGGTATTTCATTATATGTCACTTGGATGATCTGCCTTATTTTTCCCTTGCTCCAGTTTTCTGTCAGTGGGCCAGATATCAGAATTATTAGCCACTATAGGGGAATTATAAGCAGAATAACAGTGAAGTGCAGCAGACAGTAATGCTGTGCTACATAATTAGGAAAATATTATAATAAAAATATTGGTTTGTTTATTAAGCAGCAATATTAAATGTGCTGTTTGTACATCTAAAGATAGATGGAAGCCAGACACATTACATGTATCAGTGTATTCAATAAGTTACTGCCCATTTCAGTAGAAAGACATTGCTCTAGACCAAAATAAAACATTACTATAAGAATTTTTTTTTCGGATTACTGTTTTGCAGTTGCTGCATCGAGTTTTAGTTGCAGAGATCAATGCACTACAGGGCATGGCAGCCATCGGGCAAAGACCACTGCTAATGGAGGTGGGTTTATCTATGATATTTTTTCAAGGCTAGGCATTAAAAAAAAAATCTTGCCTCTGACTGTCCTGTATTTGTCTCCATCCTATCAGGAGGTGAATTCAGTCCTGCAGCAGGTGGTGGAGAGGAATCGCGTGCGGCGCAGTCTCAGTGCCAAGCGTCATGCTCTGCAGAGCTGGAGGAGTCTGGTGGAGACCATCCTCACCGCCTGTCCTTCAGAACTCATCCCTGCAGACCAGCGGCAGCTCATCATCAGAGATCTGCTGCTTGACCTGCATGACAAGGTACACTACTTAAAAAAAAAACATTATTATTATTATGATTATTTAAGCTATAACATGCTATAAAAGTTAGACATCAGACATCATCAACAGGGTACAAATAGACAACTCAAAAGATTGAAGGAAAAAATGTCATACACATAAAAAAGTGGAGCCCTGTGACGCAAAAAAGTGGACGGAATACCAAAATGTAGTCATGAAAATCAGTGAGCTGTAGAACACACAGTTTCAATCAATAGATCAAAAGCAGTGCTGTATACCTGAATAAATCATGATATAAACTTTTGCATGCTAATATCAAACCGCAAGACTATTTAAACCGTCAAAATAAAAGTCTGGTTTAATTTTAAATTTCAGTTTATTTTCAAAAATTTTGGATTCCTAAAATATTCTCCCAAATAGTCATTAAATTAATACCTTTCATGATTTCAATTAACTGGACATGCTTTTTGACTACTAATATATATATATATATATATATATATATATATATATATATATATATATATATATATATATATATATAATATTTAAATGGAGTATAGAAAAAAATGTAACCAAATTAACAATATAGGACGTTTAATTACTGAAAAATAAAATGTCTACAGATGATGAACTGCAATTGATTTTTAGGTGTTATCAGAAGATGCTGCTGGTGAACTGATGCCAATCGTAGCCGGAGCAGTCTTCACATTAACAGCACACCTTAGCCAATCAGTGCTCTCTGAACAGCAGGGGGTGGGGCCAGAGGGTGGCTCTGGATCAGGATTTGCATCCATTGCTAACTCCGCCCTTCACCTCATCCTGAGGAAGCTGCTGGACTTTATCTTGTGCACAGGTCAGAAGGGTTACTTTTACACTAATCAGCCAGGTCAATTAATTCCACTTTGTAAGGGTTAAGTGGTTAACCTTTTTGTCTTACCCTTTGGTGTTTGTTTACATGAAGGTGGAGGCTTTCAGCGTCTCAGGGCTCATTTGTATGGAGCTCTGCTGTACTACCTGCAGATCGCCCAGAAACCTGAGGAGCCAGAGACACTGCAGACAGGTAATTAAATACACTGATGCTAATGCTTTCATAAAAACAGGGTATCCACGGGTCTTAAAAAGCCTGAAAATGTCTAAAATCTCAAAAGCGTAATTTTACACCTTAAAAAGTCTTAAATCTACTGAAATGTTGTGTTGTAGGTCTTAAATCTTTTTTAACAGGTCTTAATTTTCCTTTGTTAATGTATAGCTACCCAATCTGGCCATTAACATCCTTACAATCACCAACAAAACTTTTGGTGACAGTTACAGTTGAAGTCAGAATTATTAGCCCCCGTTTATTTTTTCCCCCAATTTCTGTTTAACGGAGAGGTTGTTTCAACACATTTCTAAACATAAAAGTTAATAACAACTTATTTCTAATTACTGATTTATTTTACCTTTGCCATGATGATAGTAAATAATATTTGACTAGATATTTTTCAAGACATTTCTATACAACTTAAAGTGACATTTAAAGGCTTAACTAGGTTATCTAGGCAGGTTAGGGTAATTAGGCAAGTTATTGTATAATGATGGTTCGTTCTGTAGACAGTCAACAAAAAATTATATTAAAGGGGCTAATAATTTTGACCTTAAAATGTTTTTTAAAAAATTAAAAACTGCTTTTATTCTAGCCAAAATAAAACTTTCTCCAGAAAAAAAAATATTATTAGACATACTGTGAAAATTTCCTTGCTCTATTAAACATCATTTGAAAAAATTTAAAAGAGAAACAAAAATTCAAAGGGGGGCTAATATTTATTAAAATAAAATAAATGTATGTAATAAACATATAATTAATCACTTTTAATAGCTTAAAACTCATAAAAAGTGCTTAATAAATATAAATTCAATTTGCAGTAAGTATTTTATTGTTTGTAATATATACAAACGTGATGTATAATATTGATTTTGCAGGCACATCCATGTGGGAGCGTTTGACTGCCCCTGAAGATTGCTTCTCCAAGCTACAGAGAGAAAACCTGTCCATCATCGAGAGCTATGGCACTGCGCTAATGGAAGTGGTGTGCAGAGACGCTTGTGATGGCCATGAGATCGGCCGAGTAAGAGCAAACAAGTCAACAACATCACTGAGTTATTTTCAGACACTTTAACTGCCAAACACCTACTGAGTTGGTCTTTGTGTTTTTCAGATGCTGGCTCTGGCCGTGTTAGACAGGGTGTTGTCTATAGACAGGCAGTGTCAGTGGCTGGTGTACTTGTGTAACAGTGGTTACCTGCGTGTGCTGGTGGAGAGTTTAAAGCAGGATGACGTTTCTTTGCAAACTCTTCTCACGCCTCAGCCGCCGCTGCTTAAACCGTTGTACATCTACGAGTCCAAAATGGCTCTGCTGACCCGCGTGGCCAAGACCGCTCAGGGTGCGATGGAGCTGCTGCGCTGTGGTCTGGTCGCTCAGCTGGTGGAGTGTCAGGTGTTTCACATGCTCCCTCAGAATGACGCGCTCAGGTCTGACTTCTGCCATCTTTAAACATGAAATATACTCACTGTTTACTCATCCTCAAGTGGTTCCAAACCCTAGACAATATTTTGATGAAAACCTGACTTCTATTGTAGGAAAAACAAATACTATGGTAGTCGATGGTTTCTTTATATTAAGTTATTTTGTGTTCAACAGAAGAATGAAATTAGGTTTTCAACAAGTGAGCATAAATGATGACAGAATTTTCATTTTTAGAAGAAATATCCCTTTAAGCTTTAAGTGTTTTATCTGACTCTCTGCATTTTTCTTCTAGAGTGTTTGGGCAGAGAGATCCTTCAGGGTTTATTCCTAGTCCTCTGGAGCGATACAGGCAGATCCTGCTTCCTACACTCAGACTGATGCAGGTCATCTTGACCTCCACCACCGCACAGCACCAGCAGGGGGCAGCACAGGTACTAAAACAATGATTCCAATGATGTCCCTAAAGCTCGTGCACACCTGGCTGATTTGGCTTGCACTTATCAGCATTTTTTAGGGCATTTTTTTGTGATTTTTTTTTATTTTATTTATTTTTTTACTGGCATTGAGCAGAGTGAATGTGCAAAATCCCTCATTGACATTAGATGGCAAAACAGAAATACCCTGGTACACAATTGACACTTGTTGCAGGGAAGTACCCACTTTCAGAATTTTTATTCTTGTGTATTTATAGCTTAATATTTTCCACTTCAGTTTAACCACGTCCACTACAGCACACAAGCACCTTGTCAGATGTTTGTGGGGAAAATTTAAAAGCCATGAAAGAAAATGTTAGTGCTTGAGAGCCACCAAGTTTCAGTCTGTTTTACTGACACTTCAGCACGTGAACAAAAGTGCCAATCTCATTGGTCAAGCAGTTTTTAACTCGCTGCCTCAAGCCAAAAAATGTTGACATCTGCAAACTCACAGTGGTGGTTTTTTGAGTAGGCATTAAACATCACCAATAAGCACAAGTGAAAATTGAACCAATGTGCATGAGCCTTTTAAGACTATTAGGGCCCGTATCTATTTAGTGGTACGGTACGATTTTATGCCTGTTTCCACTGTTAAAAGGTACCAAAAAGTGAACCACACCCTTTCAAAAGGGTACCTAGCACGACGAAAGGCAGAGCTAGATGTGCAGCTGAATGCTATTGGTTTACAGAGAAACGTCACCAGCGCGGACACAAGCAGAAAAATGAAAACAAAGGAAGCACCATTTTTAAATGCACAGCAGAGACATTGCACCGTGATAATATAAACATATAATAACAAGCCATAGTCAACCTGAGCTTAAACAAATTTTGTCGTCGTCTTGATGAACAGCTACAAAGCCAAGAAGAAGAGCAGAATCTACTGTGTCCTGTAGTTGTTTACAAGGCCACCTAAAGCGGTTTTGCCTTCTCACATGAGTTTGCCACGCGTCGATATTTGAAATAACGAACTTGAGCTGATGATAACATGCACATAATCACTGAAGTGCTTCTGACATCCGATCCTCTCTAAAGTGGACAAACGCAAGAGTGAAGCACAAAAAAAAGGAGCAAATCATTCTTTCAGTAGCCGTAAACATGAATAAACTGCCATGTTTAACTATTCTCATCACCTATTGGACTATTATGAACTCGGAATGACAGATTTACTTTCTAACAAGAGGCTACATGTAAAGATACAGATGAAAGGTTTGTACTGACTAGGTTATATGTTGTGTGTTGTTTTTGAACCCAAATAAGGACTAAATGTCTGCTGTGTGTCGTTTTCGGTAACATCAGACTTTGTGTTCTTTATGTATGTCTTTATTTGTTCATATATGTTGCATTTTTTATTTATTTTATATAATCGCAGACGTTACAGGAGGCTATTTTTGCATTGTATTTCATTGATCTGCAGTTATAATCAAATCATATTCATAGGAAGGTTAGTAATGAACATTTATTCACAAGTGTTTATGTGTATAAAGCATCTGTTTTGTGTGAAGTGCTTCTCATACTGTATGATATGTGAAAGACCTGTACAGCTTTACTGTAGACATTTCCTCGAACGAGAATGAAGTCGACTGAAACTTTCTGTCTTACACTACACCCACCATTGGCTACCATTGGAATACACTTTTGGCCGTGGAAATGCAAGGCCTTCAGTGTTAGCATCGAGCTATATGTGCTACCCTTTTAAGATCTTCTGTTATATTTGTCTAAAAAAAGCTTGCATGTGTGTTGATGTGTAGGTGCTCCAGTGGCTTATCGTTCATTCGGATGTCATTCAGTCTATTCTGCATGGTCAGGACATGAGCATGGGCTCTTTACAGGAACTGTCTCTGCTCACTGCCATCATCAGCAAGACGGCACTGCCAGGTACAACAGCACTACAGCAGACTGAAAAACACCCAAAACACTGATGAATGGCTAATGTTGAGTGTGTTTCAGGAGCACTTGAGATGGGACAGGAAATCAACAGCGCTGCCCTCATGGAGTTACAGGGACACATCGGCAGATTCCAGGTGAAATATTGAAACAAATATTTCAAAATGCTATTATATAGAGCAGAATAGAAATGGAGTGACTGAAAGCAGTTGGATGTAGCTATGATGACATTAATGCGGTTAACTGCATATTAAAAGCTGATCATGTTGCTAGTATAACTTCACAAACTGGGTGCTGTTCTTCTTCCTCCTCCAGCGGCAGTCGTTGTCTCTGCTGGTGCGTCTGGTGGGCACTGATCGCGCTCGCTACCTTAAGCAGATTGAGGACACCGTTTCTCCCAGCAACCTAGCAGAAAAAAGAGAGGAAATGGAGGTTGCCATGCAACAGGTATGGTGTCACTGAAAATGTACATGATTTAAAAACCAAAAAAAATATATATATACATTTAATAATATAATAATACATGTTACAGTTGGCAACTTTGTCCATGGTTAAAACAACTGTTTAATGATAATCTGTGTAGAAAAACTACATTTCCCATGATGCTCTGACAAAATTTCCAGTTTTTCAACTCCTATGAAGCTCCTTTAATTACATAGTAAATCTCTCAAAATACAAATACATTTGTTTATTTTTGCCATAAACTTTTATGTATGTATTACATAATGCAATGTATTATTTCTATAAATACAACCAGACAAGTTTAAATTCTAGATTCTAGATCTAGTTCTAGATTTCTCCACTTTAAATGAAGTTGCCATTTCCACTGATTTATTGAATTGTTGTTTTTTCCCTCATTATGGCTGGTTATTTACAAAAAAGTTAGATTTTTTTCAGATCTATTCCTCAGTTTTTATGCTTCAAATCAAACTTTGTAATGTTTGGATTGACTTCGCAGTTCAATGGTTTTGTTATGGTTTTGTGCCTATAAGGATCACAACCCACAGTTCGGAACGCACGTGACCTGTGGATTCATTTTGAACTTGTTGGTTAATCCAACATTTATGACTGTTTGAATCTGGTGTATGAAAGCTTTTTGGTTTTCCTGTAAAATATAATGAACCTACTTGAATGCTTTCTTAGGTTATTAATTAAAGGTGTTTTCTGTCACTGTTTAGCCTGCTGCATTAATGCATTCAGTGTAAAGCTGCATAATTAAACATTAAAAGATCAAGATCTCAATTCAAACCTGCGCAACATGAATAAAAAATTAGAACGATTTGCATGTTTATTAATCCTTCGAAACGCTGCATTTAAGTTTTGTTTGTTAAAACCAATGTTTTTTACAGTGATATTTGGTATAAATGGACAGCAAATGACATTTGTCTCCTTTTTTTTTTTTTTTTTTTTTTTGCTGATCCAAAGAAATGGTCTGATCCATAACTCAAAAACCGTTGTGTGATCTGAACCGTGAGATTTGTGGTCCATTACTCCACTAATTATGATATTAATTATTCATTATCTTTAAAAATTATGGAAAAATACTTTTGGAAACAATTGAAAAAGTGCATGGGCACTATTGTGTGTATATTATACTATATGAGTTCAATAATATATATGATATCCTCTGACAAAAAAAAAACTTATTTTTCTGTGAAATCTTTGAGCTTAAGAGTTTTCACCTCAAATTGATGGGCCTTTTAATGTTTGACTGTGTGTTATGTTTGACAGATCTGTGCTAATATTATGGAGTACTGCCAGACGCTGCTGCTGCAGAGCTCATCTGAAGCCCAGTTCTCACTCTGTCTGTTCAGCCCATCAGCAAGTGAACCAGCCGGTTAGTCTTTCTGCTTTTTACAGTCTGTCAGTGCTGATTAAAAGTTGGCTGCATTTTCTAACCTAACTGTGCTTTTTCCTCTACATCAGATGTGTCCATCCCCTCTGCCCGCGTGCCCAGTCTGGGGCTGGTTCTGCTCCTGCTGAAAAACAGCGCCAGCGACTTCTTCAGGTATCACGACAGTCACAGACAGAGCCTGAACAAGCTGGAGCGAGTGGAGCAGCTTCCTCCTGAGGAACTCAAAGAGGTTTTTGTTAGATTTGTGTGCAGCTGTTTGATTCAAATGTTCAGTATTAGGAAGGCATGGTGTGTGTTAATATATGTTTGTGTGTGTGTGTGTGTGTGAAGCTGTGCCAGGGTTTGGTGTCTGGTTCTGGTGGAGTGGAAAAGATCTCATCAGTGCAGAGAAACGTACTCGCCAAACGGAGACTCGTCCAGCTGGTCAACAACAGAGCCAAGCTTCTTGCCCTCTGCTCTTGTATCCTTTGCATTAAAATTAAGGCTTTAAATAAATGTTCTGAGAATTTGACTGTTTATTCCTGTTAAGATTTGAAATTGTGCTCTCACACCTGGAAATGGGGAAATGTGTTGTTCTTGACGTGTTTTTTCTGAAGATATCATTGAGACGTGTCTGTTTGTCATCTGGCGCCACCTAGAGTTTTACTTGCTTTACTGCACTCCCACTGACCCCAAAGACTCACTGCTGCCAGGTTACAGAGGTCAGCTTTCTCTCAAGCTTCAGGATTATTTTCAGATGCTGTTGAATGACATGGTTTCTTACCAGATTGCTCTCTCTGCAGATCCTGCAGGCAGCAGAGGATTGAGCGTGTCGAGAGTGAGCCAGCAAGATCTTGAACAGGTATATTGTACATCTATACTCTCCAAATAATTGTCAAAAAATTCCATAAAGACAGTTGGTGATTAGGGCCAAAAAATAGATTTGTCTAGTTTTCATGAGTAAAAAAAAAATTGTTGACATAATTTATCTGTGAAATGAACACTGAAAATGTCTTCTTGTGTGGAATTACTGATGTTCTGTGAGGTGGAACTTCTGTGTAAGTTTTTAACACAACTAATCTGATTATACACCTTTAGGGCCAATAGTACTATTAAGAATGGTTACTCTGAATCGCCTTATTGAGATAAAGAGATTAATTGTTGTATTTAAAAAAAAAAAAGTTATTCAATTAAAAAAGGCAGAACAGTCTCAATGGGGTATATGCCGAGCTAATGTTGTTCTCATACTGATAAACTTCCGGTGACCTGTTATTTTTAGTTTTTTTCCATTTTATACCATTCCTTTTACAGCATCAATGTTGTAATGTAATTAAAAAATACAATCAGTTAAATAGATTTTGCCGTTCAGTTTGTGACAAAAAGCTGTTTACTCGCTCGCGCCTGTCAGAATCAGCAGGCTACCGCAGAAGCTCCATTGAATATACTGAGGTAAAATAAATGCTCATATTATAAAGACATGGCCGGGAGGAATGTCATTTAATGCAGTGCATTTTGTACAATCTGAGACCTACTTTATATCGCATATCACTTAGCCAGTGGAGATAGCTGATTTTTGAAGAAAACTGACCTTAAACGTGCCGATTTTGCAATGGCAAACAACAGAGTTCAACAGAAGCTCTTAACCCAGGTTACAAATTTATAATAATAATATAGATTATTACTTCTGGAGGTTAGTACCATATATTTTGATTAAAGTTTATTTAGCAAGGTGAAAGAAATTAATGATAGTACGGTATCATGATTTATATCAAATAAAGTTATAATATTAAAAATTCAAAAATCAAACAAAAAGTGCTGAGGGATAGCTTAAATAATGTGTCTGTACTCTTTTGGTAAGGAATTTATCAGAATAAACAGCAAAAATCAGTCAAAAGCACTCATAAAAGCAAAAAAAAAAAAAAAAAAGCCCCCCCAAAAAATTTGATTAGGTGAAGAAACTCCAGACACACCAGATCACTGCTACCCTGATGAAAACGCGTAGTCGCTGTTTTAAGGAATAGCCATGTCAGTAAAGGCTTTTTAGTATTTTTTCCACATTTTTAGAGTGTCTTGGACTAATTTTTGCGTTTTAAGTTATAATATTATATTACATAAATACCATTCTTTTTATCAAAGAATCCTGAAAAACAACAACAACAAAAAAACAAAGCCTGCGAACAATGATGCTGAAAATTTGCATGATGGGAATATCTACGAATTTAAAATGCACCAAAATATAAATAATTTATTTAATATAGATCTGTTGTATTTTTAATTCATTAAATGCAGCCTCAATGAGCTGAAAATACTTTTTGTTTGTATACCCTAAGCTTGTATTATTACTTAAAGCTGCTTAGTAAGTTTTGCTTTAAGGTGTTATTGAGACTTTGCTGTGTGTGTAGTTGCAGAGTGACATGTCGAGCAGCTTCAGTGAGCCGCTGCAGAGGAAGCTGCTGGAGGTGGAGGGACTTTATAGCAAAAGCCGCTCTCGTCACACCTTCATCCAGGCCCTGACACGCAGGATCCGCGGCCTCGTACACCACGCCAAAAGCTGAACTCCGGCATGCAGATTTTCTCTAATTGTGAGAAAAGAAAAATCTTTTGAATTCGGTGTCTTTTTTTGCAGTTTTGATGACTATCAATCCACACATGAGGTTTTCTGCCTATGATAGTCGCTGTATTGGCTTTCTGCTTTTTTCTAATGTGGTCATTAAATGCTTTTCTAACAGACAGCCATGTTGTTTCTGACTTTCTTGGTCAAATGTGATCATATTTATGTTTTTTAATAGTTGAACTCTTTCCTAACTATTGAGGAAATAAATCGTCAATTAAGAGAAACCACTTGATCATTTTTACAGCAATCTATGTTTTAGGTATATTATGGTAGTGAAGCCCTAATGCATGTCCTGAGTGTGTACATGACATCACAGGCTTTTAGGAGTGAAATATCAGAGAAAGTGAATGTAAGATTGCAGGTTATAATCTGCAGCTTAATCCCTTCTGTAGCACTTTAGCCAAATTTTCTGCCCCCGTCGATCTGCACAAGGTTAGACATGCAAACTTGTGTGTACAGCATGTGGTTTTGTATTACACTATATCTTGAAAATGCGCTACTTGTTACTGTTCTATTTTTCATTGGTAATTTAGTAGTTGCAGGGCTCGAAATTGCAACTGTTTTGGTCGCATATGTGCCCAAAATTTTACCTATGCGACCTCAAAATATATTTGGGAGCATTTGTGCGACTGCATAAAATTGGTACCGTGTGACTGGTTTTCACTGCAAAATGTTCACCACACATGCAGATTTAGGAGACATTCTCGCAGAATGCATCTTAGCACATGAGATGCCAAACACAGCGCTCATACATTGTTTACTGCAGCAAGTTGACATGACAACTGTTTTAAACTAAGCGAGCAATGCTTGCTCCGCCTTCAAGTTCTTCTGATTAGTCCACTGCTCTAGCACTGAATGCGAACGGATTGGTTAATATCAGCTGTCAATCACTTAGTCGATGCCTTTCTTTAGATGACAGGGAGAGCTACAACCACGAACATGTAAAGCACTGAAGATGAGAGAATGAAAACAACACTGAGATTTAGTTTTAGAAAACATACGTTTCAAATAATGGTACATCTGATCAGTGATCATGTGCTGAATGTCAATCCAGCATTTACACTTCATCATAAAGCCGGTGTGACGGAGTTTGCAGGTAACAGAGTTCGCCAAATCTACACATTTTAAGCGCGAGAGGTTCTGTTTAATCCTTCATTTAATCATCAAGATACTGTCAGCTGTGCAGGTGGCAGCTATATGTAAACTGTAACACCACATACACCATCGCAAAAGGGCTTGCATTCATTAAGATAAAACTAATATTGCAGCTCGTGAACGGTATTGCTATTAGGATTACGTATGCAAATAATAAGCTATTATCTCAGTATCATCTGTGCAATATTACACAGCACCCGTGAGAACAGCAAAGTTACTATTGTTAATTAAGTTTGATTCATGTCAAGCAGTGCGTGCAGGGCCGGTGGGCGATTGCAGATGTTGTTTTGTTTGTTAGATTGTTTAGTGTTGATTTCAAATGCAGTAAATCGGTTAATTTAACGTTAAAACTTGTAGTAACGGTGCTTATAATTGGTAGGTGCGACTAAATTTTGGCTGCTGCTCCTAACTTTTTAAACTTTGGAGCACCAGTGCTACCAAACAAAAAAGTTCATTTCGAGCCCTAAAGTGACTAAAAACTGCATTCACATGGGGATAAAACATGAACACATAAAAAATAGTATTTTTTTTGTTGTTTTTTTTTTTGTGAAAGCTGAGGGTTGGTTTCTCAGTTTCATTTATAATATGGTCATAATATTCCTAGCCAACAATATTCTGAGGGATGTCAAGGGCAAAATCATCAGAAATGCTAATAACATGCCACTTCATGCTAGAAACATGCTAATTCCAAGTAAAAACGTTCTAAAAATATGCCAATTTATGTTAGAAACATGCTAACAACATGCTAATTCATGTTTGAAATATGCTAACAACATGCTAATTTATGTTAGAAATATGCTAACAACATGCTAGTTTGTGTTAGAATCAAGCTAACAACATGCTCATTCATGCTAGAAACATACTAATAATAAAAGTAGAAACATTCTAACAACATGCTAATTCATGTTGGAATCATGTTATCAACATTTTAATTCATGTTGGAAACAAGTTAATTAATGCTCGAAACATGCTAATTCATGCTTTATAATATAATGTAATATGAGTTTTCATCTATGTTGCTTTTAGGTTACTTGATACTTTTTCAAAATAAAACTACTTCCAACAAGCTTTCTCCAGCCATCACACAGTTTATCCTCCCAACTTTAATATCTAGTTGTTATACTACTGTATTCTATTTGAGTAACTTTCCCTAAAATAAATACACAAGTACAACATAGAAAATATTCTAGATTTAAAAAATATTATTTACAACAGGGGTGTCCACACTCGGTCCCAGAGGGCGAGTGTCCTGGAGAGTTTAGCTCCAACCCTAATCAAACACACCTAAACAAGCTAATCAAGCTCTTAAGCTGCGGTCACACTGGGCTTTACCCCCCATAGACTTCCATTCATATGCACGCGAATGCTTCAGACCGGAAATGCAGGGTCATGTGTCAAGTTTCGCAGGTTGCTGTGGTGCAAAGTTCAAGCTTGGTGTACTCTGACCTGCGAAATCGCATCACTTGAGGATCAAAACATGACCTCTCTGGAAAGTAATTTAAAAGATGGAGCAATCGCTCGCTTTTTTAAATGTCTAAAAATCTTGTTCAATCCCGCCCCTTTTCGCAGCGCTGTACGACTCTGATCTACTGTGATCGCAGCTTTACTAGGCATATTAGAAACTTCCTGGCAGGTGTGTTGAAGTACGCTGGAGCTTAATTCAGCAGGACACCGGCCCTCCAGGACCGACTTTTGGACACCCCAACAACAAAACTAGAACAGTGTTATATATTTTGCTGTCATTTGTACTTCTGCATTATTCTATATCAGTGGGTGCTTTATTAGTTAGTCCTTTATTAGAACCCTTACAAAAAAAATGTAAAAAAGTCCCGCAAGATCTCACACTACATACCTGCACTTTCCTACATTATTCTGACACTATTCTTGTTGAACTTCAGCAGGAATCCTCGAGGGAACATGCTTGTAAAAGTTGTAGAGCAGTCACTGCAAAGAGAGAACAGCAAATACATGCGCTTAAGCAAACAGCTTTTCCATAATGAAAACCAGAAGTGCAAACTCATTCCAGAATAATCTTGTTTTATTTTACAAGTTACACTTTAGAGAAGACAGTAAAGTGCGTAATCTTCAGTTTCAGTTGTACATATAAAACAGGGTCTGTCTCGGCTCTGAGCTGATGTAGCTTTAATGCGAAAGAGATTCTGGGAATGAAAAGGCCAGCACAGAATACATTCAGATTGATTGCATGGTACGGATTGTTACAAAGAACCACATTAGAAAACAGAAACTCTGTCTCGTCTTTCCAATTTGGCCATAAAAATGTGTGCGTTAATGTCGTAGGCACATCCCGTTCTCAAAAGATGGAGGAATGAAATATGACTACAGTTCTTTGCTGTGATATGTTTCAAAGTCAAGTATTTAAATCACGTTTAACACTAACATCACAGGGTCTTCTTTTTAAATAAAACTCATCCTATGAAAGGGCATCGAGGGAAACAAAGGCCTGTTTCTCACAACATTGATGACAAATTAATTTATATTAATTCATACTAAGACTTCGCAGCTCATTCTGCAGAGCAAGGCGAGAGACTGCATATTTAAGTATGAAACAAAACCAACATGCTTATTTCTTGAATACAAATTAATGTATAAATGGTCCAAACTAGGCTGAGAATGTAAATTTGTGCTATGTAAATGTCATGCATATCTTCTATAAATTATTTTTTTAAATAATAAACTTATAATAATTACAGTATTTAAAGAACATGTACAGATCTCCATCTCCCTGCAGAGTCTGATTGTGCTGCCCACAGAAAAATGGATCATTTACATACACAACAAACACTTGCCATTGGTCAGCTGACTGTCTACGAACAAAAGGATCATCATTATTACACTGATCTGATTCACTCACAACCAGTTATTTCACGTCAATACTGAATCGATTACAGAGGAGAATTTGATCAATCACACAATATCCATCTCTCAGAATTGATGGAAAGAGGTCTCGCGACAAAGTCGACATTTTTGTTCGAATTTTGTCAAAACAAAAGGAGAAACAGCTTATGAGGAGTCAAATATTATCACATTGTCTTTTGTGCAGCGGCTCTTCAGAAGCTGATCGGAAGTACAGCAGACTTGCGAATGTTTCATAAGATGGATATGTACTGAGGCACTGCAAACACCCACATAGAAACTTAATGCTCCTGTGATGGACACGGTTCTGAATCTGGACCAGTGTCCTTGTTGATCCTGGATTTAACAGTAGGAGGGCTGCAGCGGTGCAGATGAAAGTGTCATGGTATGGTATTACATAATTCAATTCCATATTTTGCTCATAGATTTCAGTTACCCTCCACATATAAATCCTCTCGCCTTTTGTCAAATACAAACCGTTGAATTCAGATGCCCCAAATTCTGCATTACAATTAAAACTTCTCTTAAGATGTTTTTTTTTTTTTCCCTAATTTACTGTCAAGCTTTGAACCCTCTACAAAATGAACCAGGGTTTTATTATAGTAAACGTGTACTGGCCTGCTAATAACCATGTTAAAGTTTGTGTGTGTAACTATAACTAATAGAGCACTGGGCATAAAGTTAATATGTAACATGAAGTTTTAAGGTATTTGCTCAGGGTTAACCCGGGCATGCTTCTGTGGTTTTCACCAGTGTCGGCAGACGTCTGTCTTCCTGCCAACTATTGTAAAAGTTCTGCGAAATTTGGATGAGAAACAGAGGAGAAAAAATTTTTGCAACAAAGTTTTTTTTATTTTATTTTAGTCTATATATATATATATATATATATATATATCTGTGAAAGTATGTACGGAAAGTCTTATATTGTTGTGATTACCATCTTCTAGGCTAAATTATGGAACCATCTTAAAAGATGAAAAAAAAAAAAACAAACTGTGACTGCTAGCCAGTTTTAAGGGGAAAAAACCACCACCGTCGAGTTAGTTGTAACAGGGTGTTACAAATAAGCCACACACTGCTGGACACCAATTAAACTAACAAAATAATTGTTGAACTTTGAGTGTAATGTTGAGATCTTTTTATATTAAACAATTTTAATAGAAAACATTTTTAAAATGAATTTTCTTTTTTTATTGCTAATATTGCAAATGAATGCATTGTATAATAATGCAAATAAATCCAAGTGTGTTTATCCAACAGATATATAAATAAACACGCAGTGCTATAAAACATAATTGTGTTAAGTACTGAGGAAACAGCAACTATTTAAAGTAAACTGAATTGAAATTAATTGGGGGAAATTAGGCACGTGTGTTACAACTAGCCCTGTCTGTTACAACTTGCTCCGCAGGTGGGGAAAATAGTAACATTTTTTTACTCCTGGCACTTTTGGCAATACTGCACAAAAAAATCCGGCGGTCATATCAGTGCTCATTTGTAGGAGAGACTTGTGTGTTGTTGGTAAAAAAATGTTAGTCTAACCCCATTAATTTGTTTATTATGTGGTCAAAACAAAGAAGAGTTACTGCCCCACTCTCATATTTTTACACAGTTTACTTACTAACACCGATGCTAACTGGTGTACAACAGGGTAAATAACAGACTCAGTACACCCTATAAAAATTTATTTATTTAACCCAGTTGTTGAGCTAAAATACTGGGTTGCTTTGTTGGGTTATTTTTAACCTTTATTGGGTTATTTATATTATAACTCAACCAGAGGTGTAAAAAAATGAATTTCAAGATGCAAATTCAAGAACAGCTGTATGTTATTGTGCGTGCGTAATGTTTTAATATATCGAAAGAAGAATGTAGAAAAAAACATGGTTTAACAAAAAGGAACCGTTTTGTTTTTGTTTAACGTTATAGTAAAACCTAACCAAAAGCTATAGGATACAAAAAACGGACTTTGACCAAACTTGTATAGCGTTAACGTATGTTTATTTCCTGAGGTAAATGTTGCCGGATTTACAAGTTCTCCATACGTTGTTTCACTGACCTCTCTCCATGTATACAACAGATTACGCGATAAAATATAAGCTAATACTTTTTGGTTGATAGTTTTAATCGTGTAACATACCTTTTGATGGTTAGTCGTTTATTTTGCGCTGAGAAAAAAATGAGAGACTTTCCCGCGCTCCGCGTCAAAGCTCGTCGGAGTTCTGTCGAGTAAAGTCAGATTATGCGTCCTCACATTGAATGAATTCGCTACTTGATCTCCAGATCGCTTAATTCGACACCTATTGAAATACTAATATAAAAACCCGGGAGTGTTACTAGGAGTCGCAAGACGATGTGAGTTTGACATTTATGATTTTAAAAAGCATTTTGCTATAACTGATTGAGAAAAGTCAAACGCCATTCTTAGATTTTTGCTATTTGTTTAACAAGAAGATAATTGTGATTGAATAAGCTTAAAGCATAGTTTGGTTTTACTGTAAATAAAAAGTCAGTTCTGTGTATGTAATGAAAAGGGAAAAACTAACCTTTGAAATCAGAAGACAGCTATAAGTCTAAAACCAGTATACTGTGGCCTACTCATTCTTTTCACATACTTGGGTTTGCATACAACTCAATGACAAAAAAGTAATCATCCAGAACAGCACACACACATAAATGCACACAGCCCATAATTAATTGCACATGTAATGAGCAGCTTTGTACCTTCAAACTGTTTTTGCACTTTTTAACTTGTCTTCTCACTCTATTCACTGGGTTGTTGTTACAGTTATGCCTTGCAAAATATAACTAAAACTCTATTTTAAACTAGATATACGACGAGCATTTTATTTTCGCTCATGAAATAAAAAGCACTGATACTACAAGTGACCTTGCATAAATATTAGCATTTTAAAAGATGAAGCTTTCCATCTCACATGTTCTTGCCTGAATATTTGCATTGCACTGTGAGCTTCAGTGCAACTTGTTTTAAGATAATATAATAAAACTGTTTACACCACACCATGACGAACCATCAAACCGCTGCAACCCTATAAAATGACAACACATTGTCAAAATAATGATGTCCTTAATGAGTGTTCTGCAATTTTAAGCCATTTAAGTTATTAAAAAACACTCACATCCAGAATAAACAAATCCTATATCAGCCTCCACACACTATATACACAACATCTAAATGTTCTGAATTGTACACTATTTACATTAGGCTTTAAATCAGTGTGCTATCAGCTGAAGCATGATGCTATTTCCTCTATGTAATCCTTTGTGAACTTCAAATCTGGTCAAGCTGGCATCTTGGAAGTGTTCAAAATAATCCAAATGGAGCTTTTTAGGAGACCTGGACCAAATCTCAGGCTGACCAGCAGAGGGCAGCAGCAGAGCAACACTTTACATAGACAGCACCACCAGTAGATAAATCTCCAATGAGAGTTTGTCGTCTTTGTTCAGTTGCCGTTTGAGTTTAACTCTTCTGTGATTTCCGCAGAACTGTTTTCTTCAGGCGACTCTGGAACTTCTCCTGTCACCGCCATACGGATGACTTTGAGCCAGCGCTGTTTCAGTTCCTCGCTCTCTGCGGCGAAGCTGTGGATGGATTTGGACTGTGAGAGTCTGAAGCTGGCAGGAGGGTCAGTGGCTTTCGGATTGTCCTCCACATGGTAGCCTAGCAGTGGAATGGTGGACTGGGCCTTGACATCCTGCGAGGACAGTGAATGTTTGTTTTAGTAAAGGGAAGTGCTGTACGGGAACAGAAATGCAATGTTCGGTGTGTGATGAAAGCACACTGACCTGAGGTGCTCCGTACAAGTAGAGAACTAGAGCTTCTTTCTCAGGAATGACACACCAGACTTTCTGCCACGGCTTGTTCCTTTCACAGTACTGCAGGAAGCCACACATGATGCTGCTGCCGCAGAACTGAGCCGCTTCAATCTGGCAGAGACAGACACTCAGTCAGACAAAAATACTGGCTGTATGACTATGAAAATATTAAGAGACCACTTGAAAATTAGCTTTTTGATTAATTTTGTAAACTACTGGTGAAATTTCTTTACAATATACAACCGAATTGATGTTATTCAGAGCCTTTTTGTTGCATAAAATAAAAAGATGCAATGTTTTCAGATGTGTTTATATTAAAAATACCAATGTTTAGGACAGAACTTCTTTATATATTTAGTTACAAATTCAGTAGTTGGTGTAATGACTGCTTTTTAATCACAACAAATGAAAACATCATTTTGACCATTTGTCATTTTCTGGGGAAAAATGTAGAAGTTTGTGCACTTAAAAAAAATTTAATAAAGAATTACTTAAAGAGAAATTACTGAGAAATTAAAGTGGTCACATAAATAGTTTCATATTTGTGTATGCAACTGTATGCAACAACAATATATCAATCCAGATAAAAAAATAAATAAAAAACTGAAGAGGGGGTCAATAATGTCAGCACAAAAAATTTAAAATTATAATAATTACTAAATGTTACATTTCTTTTTAGTAAGCTTCTGTAATTAATATAACATTTTAGTATTTATTTATAAATTAAAAGTCTTCAGTAAAGCATCTATTAAAAATGATAGAGAATCAGATGTTAACATTTCACTTCAACATCAAAAGATTTGTGTGTGTGTGTGTGTGTGTGTGTGTGTGTGTGTGTGTGTGTATATATATATATATATATATATATATATATATATATATATATATATATATATATATACACACACACACACACACACACACACACACACACACACACACACACACACACACACACATACACACACACACACACACACACATGTATATATA